GTCCGTCTTGACACCTCTACTTTTGGTAAAGGTACGTGAACCAAAGCTCTTTGGTAAAATGCTCTATCGATAAAATTATTTATAATTAATAATGATGTAATATAAGTTAAATAAAAAAAAAGATCATTCCTTCTAAACATTCTATTTCACCTGATATTTCATAGGGATAATTCTTACCCAAAACTTTTAATAACGTGGTCGTGATCTGTCATTACGTGCGACTCTCTCCACCATAAAAAGAAAAAAAATTAAAAACAAAATCTGCTAAGAGAGGTCCTGAGAGAAGAATTTGGGGGCAAAAGTATAAATGATCTATGTAATTGGTCATATTATCATGCTTTTTATACAAAAAAAAAACCCTGACTTTTTCATATGAGAAAGTTCACATAAAATGAAAGGATCCAACAATTAAGACTACTAAATACACACAACCAAAAGCATATAAATTACGAGTCTTTTTGTCTTGTGAAAACAAAGAAATGCAAGTCCAAAATATGTAATGAGTGTGTTAAAAATGTATCCTACTGGGCCGTTCCTTTTCCATTCGGGTCTCGCCAAAGTCTTCATCATTGTCCATCCGTTTGTCATGCCTAAATGCCGCACAAGCTATAACATATATGATAACTAGCAGGATTAATATGACGATGTTGACCACGGATACTTTCCTCCAACTCTTCTTGAGGCTAGCCAACACACCGGCTTTACATGAGTCACAACTGTAACATAGTTGCTCTTGATCGTTGTTCCATCGGACACAATCTGAATCAACTCCGCCTAGTCCTCCTCCCTGCTGGCCCCAATATGTCTCATTCTCGTACGTAAAACCACATGCTGTAGGCGGCTTGCAACATCCGGACTACATTAACAAGGGTAAAGGTAATTTAGTCGTAAATCATCCACATACACGCATAATAATCTTAATTAGAAACATTTTCATGCTGGCTAATCGAGAGCTAGCACCTTAATTCATTCACACTTCCTCTTCCCAGGAATGAACAATTGGATTTTGACGAATGTGAATGAATTAAGGTGCTAGCTCTCAATTAGCCTATAAATATTTGTGTGTGTGTGTGATCAAAATGAGTACTCTTAGTATAGTATGTACCACATCGTCAAGTAAACAATTCAGATGTGCAATGTATAAGGAGAATGCAAAACCTCATATTATTATTATAAGCCGAACCATAGAATTCATCATAGTGTAAATGATGGGGGTCGGATTTGTTTCTCTAACCCTATGTAATGTCTAGTCACTCTAACTTGACGCTAATGAAAAATGTTAGCATGACCCAAGTGTCAATTGTGAATACCGATTTTATAACAAAGTCATGTCCATTTATTTTCACAAAAACGATTAGATTAAGAAATTACAAAGTATCCATTGTGACAAACGTCAAACGCGCTCTCAAACTTAAAGCTTCCGTCTTGACACGACTACATAAATATCTGTTTCACAACATTTAAGCCGCCATTTGGCCTCCATTAATTTAAAATAAATTTTTCTTTCTTCTTATTAACCACATATTCTCTAATAAAATAATATTGCACATAAACCAAGATTTTTTCCTTCTTTTTCAACCCCACATTCTCCAAAAAAAACACTATTCCATAACAGGTCACTACTTAGTGGAGATGAGTACTGGTCGACAAGTTTTTGCTAGAGACAAATAAATCAATTCAAAGTTAAATAAGGGGCCCCTACAATTTGTGTAGTGGAGAGCGTAATATCTTGAACCAACATGTGATGACAGACCATAATCCAAGCACATAAAGTTAGTGATTGATCCTACATAGTGGAGTCAATAGTGCGTAGTTCAAATAGTCTTGTGATGATATTACTAATAAATTAATGAAATTAATAATCCACACGTGAACAGAAAAAGCTATCATGATGGATCTTTTGAAACCCTAAAAAAAGCAAGACTAAGCCCTATAACCACCGCCCTTAATAAACTATTTCAAACAATATTATTCCTTATCAAACCAGATATTGTACATGTAAATATGCCATGTCTTGCCTCAAATTTAAGTACTTCTTTATACAAGATCCTTTAAGAAATATCGAGTTAGTTCTATTATTAGCGGTCACGGTACTTTCATTCTACTCCATCAATCGTATCATTTCTTCCCAATCATTTTTGACATCAACGTAGTGTCTTGGCATCAAACAATGTGACGCAATTGAACAAAGTGGCCTAAATTGATACAAAATTACACTATATTGACCCAAAATGACCAACAAAAAAAAAAGTATAATTACCCAATTGACACAAAATGTAGTGACTTAATTGAAAATTGGGTCAAAGTACAATGACTGCTGATGAAATTAACCCAAAATATAACTTTGATTCTCTGCATTTTTGCGAATAATATTATTTTATTAAAAAATATGCAATTAAAATATGATCAAATTACTGTTAAATAATTCATTTTGAAGAAAAAAATAGGAATAATATTTGCTCATCAAAAAGCCCATAACTTAAAAAATAATTTGAGCAGGCACTGACAGCTTGTCCTAAGAACCAATCTCGTTGACCATGTGAGTATGGGGCAATTAATCCCTCATTTTTGTGCTTGACGGAAAGTTTTTGGTAAAGAAAAGATATTATACTTGAAGAAAAGGGAAACTCCTTGAACAATAATACCGCTCAGTTGGACACCCCTCACATGGGAGGCGGGGTGGGGTGGTGTTCGCGATTTTTAAAATTATAGGCCCACCCCATGTGAGAGCTGTCAAACTAGACGTACACTTTAGCATTTCCCCTTGAACAAATAAGTGTCCCTTTTCACCTTTGGTACTCCAAAAGGAAGAAGATGTTCGTCGTTCTTAAAAACGATTTTTTTTTCTTTTTAAGGAAGTAAAAAACCCAACTCTAATCAATGAAGCCGGAGTCCACAAAATAATAGGTCTTACCAGTTCAATGAAATTCTCAATCAATAATGAAAAGAAGTTGAATTAATTCATATTGTTACCTGAATAGGATTGAGTTTTCTGCGGATAAATATATCGGCCGTCTCAGGAACTCCGCTAACAGTTCTTCCCATTTTATTACAGATATGGGAGTCTCTAATACAAGAACTGATCTTACTCCAGTAACTCTGACTTTTCACGCGCTCTTCCAGCCAACCTGAATAATCCTGAAGATTGTACTCCTGGTAAGCCCGGTTCATGACGGGCCGGCCGGACCCTTTATCGGTCACAGCATAAGCAAAGATGACGAACCCAATAAGGGCCGCTATGATGATGAACATAGCCCACAAGTAGAGGTACATGAGGAAGGTGTTACGGTAGCACGCGCCGGCGAAGCCCGCGAGGGACACGATCATGATGGAGACCCCTATCACTATGAGAGGCCACTGGAGGAATTTCAAGCAGTCGGTGTTGTTTGCACGGCTGCTCAGCCATATTCCGCCGCCCAGGATGGGGATAGAGAGGAGGAAGGTGAGGAAGTTGAGAAAACCTATTAGGTGGTTGCTGGTTCTCATTATTCTTTTGTTTCTGGTGGTGGGTGTTTCTTGCAGAGTTCGATATTGAAAGGGTAGGTAATCAGGTAATGTATAAGCTGAGGAGATATATAGGACACGGCTAGCTTAAGAAGTGGACAACTGTTGTTGACTAAAAATATAACTTCTCAGTGTTCTGCACCTCTTTCGTGATATTAAAATTAAATTTTTAATATGTGTCGTTGAAAATAGTAGATTTTATAAAATATGTTGTTAAGATTAATTGTTGATTTTGATTAAAATTAAAATTTTAATTTTTACCCAACAAAATTTAATTATTTACTTGTAATTCATAATAGTTTTCAGATAAATATAACATTTCCATCATTTTCTTGACTCCAAGGTTGAACTTGTTTACTTTAAAGCACGTTACGGAAGCTTTTATAAATAATTCAAATTATAATAAATAAATAAAAATGAAAGATGAATAATTGAATAGTGCAAAAATAACTTAGATATTTATAAATGAGTGGTGGTGGTGGCTTGCGTAGTTCAATATTGGGAAGCGTGTGAAATGTGCAAGGCTATAAGCTATGGAGAGAGACACGGCTATGGACAAGTGTAATTTTACTACTGAATATTATATAAAGAAAATTGCAGTCACGGTACCAAATATTTCATTTTTTTACAGACTTTGTCCAAATCTTTATTTTGTGTCAACCACGGTACCAAACCTTTAAAAAACTCGCACCAAAGGTTCTAATGGATGAAAACCGTGAGTTTGACTGTTAGACTTCAAAAAATTATTTTGACCAAATCAACAAATGGCAGAATGATAACTATATAATTTTAACATTAAAAAAAATAAAATAAAAAAGGCAACACTATTCACCTTCTTCACAAACCACCCCATCCCACGCCATTGGCCGCCACTGCCGACCACCACTTTCCGCAACCAATGGTGGAATCACCTCCCAACACTACGGTCTTAGAAGTTGCAATGCACTAGCAAATAAAATGGAGCCCATATTTTAAGATTAAAATCTTTCGAAATTTAATGTTTCAAATGCAAATCTGAACCTCAAATTATAACTATAAGCGAAAAATAAACACAAATCCAGCTGAATTCTTAAAAGAACACCCAAAAGCGGAACAATGCGGATCAGAAATTGAGAGTAAAGCTAAAATCTACTTTTATTTAGAGCTACGATTTAGAAAACTCAGAAAAATAACACCAAGAAAATTCTCGAAACCCTTTTGTACAAGTGAGGGAATGGAGATTGGGATTTCAGAGGATTATAAGGCAAGAGGTGGGGCGGAGGGGGAATGAATGCTCGGAAAATAGTGATGGTTATCGAAGGCGTGGATGTGGCAAGAACTGCACTCCAATGGGCACTTCACAATATCCTTCGTTTGAGGGATTTGATTACACTTCTTCACGTATATACCACTACAACATCCAAAAGCAAGAAGAAGCACTGGCTTCTCCGCTTGAAAGGCTTCCAATTGGCTCTCTCTTTCAGAGAAATATGTAATTCCTTCCTCAATGTACGCAGTAATCTTTCTTACCCATTTAATTACATGTATATCGTGCAAAATCGTTGGCCCAATTGATTATTATGATGCAAACTGACTGTTGCAGGCAAAGATTGAGATTGTTGAGAGGTGATTCCACCATTGGTGGCGAAAAGTGGTGGTCGGCAGTGGCGGCCAATGGCGTTTAGTGGAGTGGGGTGGGGGATGGTTTGTGAAGAAGGTGAATAGTGTTGCCTTTTTTGTTTCTTTTTTTTTTTATGTTAAAATTATGTAGTTACCATTTTGCCCTTTGTTGATTTGGTCAAAATAATTTTTTAAAGTCCACTAACAGTCAAACTCACAGTTACCATCCATTCGGACCTCCGGTGTGAATTTTTTAAAGGTTTGGTACCGTGGCTGGCACAAAACAAAGGTTTGGACAAAGCCCTACTACGAACTTGAGTAATCGTATGCCAAAGTAAGTGAAACTACACACAACCATGAGAGCTCGATAGATCCTGTCAAATCTAATTTAACTTGTCAAGAGATTCAAATATTATTTTTAATATATCCTAATAAATATAGGTCAAAATCATATCTCCATTGATTTTTATTTTTATTTTTGGCTCAATATATATGTCCCGAGATACAAATTTATTTACTTAAATTTTGTTGGTTTATCATAAGAAATGTTCCATAATTGACAAGCATGTTGTCGTTTCCAAAATGCATTAGGTTTACTAATCAGAATAAAGAATTCGGCTTTGGGGCCCACACCAAATTGTCGTGGCATAGAAAATGTTTGCATTCGAACGAATTTTATCTAATGGTAGGTGGCTAATCAGATAAGCGGTCGGTCCAGAGACTACTGAAGTGAATTTTATTCGTACTGTATGAACACAAATTAGATATTTAGCCCCTCTTTGAGATATTTTCTTTTTCGTTTTTCTTTTTTTTTTGGGAGAACTGTATTTTAAAATAGTGATTTTTTTGGAGATTGTGTAGTTTAAAAAAATGAATTTACGTGAAAAATTATTTTGTGAAGAATGTGTGATAAAAAATGAGTAGAAGAATAAGAAT